TAAACAGCAATCTGAGGTCCATCCTACCTCATCACTCAGAGCCCTTCCCCAAGACAAAGTATGGAGGTGGCCTGGACATGGGCCAGGCTTTAACCAAAGCCTAAAGCATGTCTGCTTGCCCCTAAGGTCAAAAATTCAACCCTCATTACTGAGTTACAATTTATTTTCCAGTGTGGTGGTATATCTACCTTTCTCTTGAAAATTCCCTCTTTTACAGCCTGAAACCTTCAACACATGGAAATCCTGGATCCCCCTTGACACCATGGACCCATTCAGGGCAATTAGGCATTCAGAAGCTGTTAGCATGTAGATTTGATGATAATTTCGTGAATGGAGTTGTCAAACAAATTGCCTTTATTATGGACTGATTAAATGCAATCAGGGAGAAGTGCCTTTCCCCTCCCCAACTCCAGCCCTCATCACTCAAACAAACACACTGAGCCAATTAGCAGGGAGGTGGCAAGAGCAGCTTTCACTTTAAACCTGATATTCTTGGGGAAAAGGGGGAAAAAAACCAAAAACAACCAATCACCACCACCAACAACAATAACAACAGCAACAAAAATCTTTATGCTTTCAAAACCAAAATGAGCCTCCAGGGAGAGGTTCCAAAAGCTACCCAGGGCTCACCTGCAGGGTGTGGATGGGAGTTACCTGTGTTCATCTGGCTCCATGCCACATCAGCTCCCTTAAGCAAAGCGCTGCTCACATCCAGCTTGTGCCAAAATCTAATGCAAAGAACATAAACATTAAAGCAGACCCAAGGGGAGCAGCACTACTGGGGCTGGTTTTTCTTTTAGCTGGGCTCTCCTGTATCAAAAAAGGCACTAGCTCCCAGCCAAGCTGCTTCCATGCCTAGAAAACTAAGTTTTTGGCTTAAGTGCTTGCAGTGGATTCTCTGATATCTGTAAATGCTTGAGTTCACAACCCTTTCTGCAGTATGGAGGGACCTGTCTCCATTAACATGAAACTTGTGGCAATCCCATAGATCTGATGCCACCATCCTGCTGCCCAACACGCCTGAAATCAGCTAATAAACAGGAAAATCCTTGAGGAGAATCAGAGCATGGCATGATAAAAACACAAGTTTAATTCCTTGCAGGTATGCAGCTGGAAGTTAAATGGTCACATTGGCAGCTGTGGGCAGAGCAAAATTCAACATGTGTTTGCATGACTTAGCTTCAGAGACAGGAACATCGTGGCTGAGCAGAGAGAGCACACAGGATATGAGCAATAGCTGTTGACTAAGCTTTCAATGCCTGCATTTAAAGTTAGCACCAAAGCCTACTTTTGGCCCCATTTTCATTAACCTTGTCCCTCTGAGGAGCAAGGCCTGAGCACTGCACATGGATCACTGCCTCCCAGAGCCCATGAAGAGGAGCTATGGCACAGCTTCCCCTGGCAGGGGCAAGGGCATTGCTCTGTCTTAGACTCTCACTAAAATTAGAAAGGGACTAAAATAAAGGTCAAGTTTTATCAAACAGCAAGGATTTTGGAGAATTCATTGCTGCTGCAGAGATTAGCACTAGAGGTTTATGGTTAACGCACTGAGATTGAAAAGATCAGATTCTTACCCCACACCTCATCACAGTCCTCAAGTATCACCTTTAACATTAGGGGAAAGTGACACATCAAGACAGCAGGTTCTAAGTCTTCAAACAGTCCTGAGCACAAGAACAGATCACAGAATGAGATTAAAGCAAGAGTTCATTCTACAAGCAGCCACAGAGAAAAAGTCCAGGTCTTCTTAAGAAGTGGCTGCAAAATGCCTGATAAGTCCACTTTCTCCCTCAGGATCTGCTTCCTACCCCCACATCCTGCTACAAACGTCAATGTTTAAAGAACTAATAAAGAAAACAACTTCAAAACTCTTCACATAGTTCAAATACTTCACTTAAAAGGAATTTGAATTCTTACATCTCAGATTGCACCAGTCCCCAGCAGGACACGCACTGCTCATGTTCACATTGTGGCATTTGAGCTGTTCAAGCAGGAGGGATGGAGTGTGCTGGGTGCTCAGGGGTTAGAATTCCCCACCAGCCCTACTTGTGCTCTCTTGTGAGAGCTGAGACTCAATTAGCCACATCTCTGGGCACCTTCTCAGGGTGTGCCTTGCCATGACCTACATGAAAATCCTCCTGCAGCTGAGAGACACATCCCTTGAAGACCCAGCCAGTGGAGAGTAATGGGAGCAGCGGGATGTGGTTGGGTTTGAAGTCCATGGTGAGTCTTTTATCCAGCCCTATTGCAGAGCTGCAGCATGAGAGTCAGGTCAGTGCTGCTGACTTATGATCTGATTAGAGCTCAAGACTTGTTGTCCCTGAGCTTCTCCCTCCAGGGCTGGACCCACAAACACTGGCCTCCACCACACAGCCATGGCCTATTACAAACAGCAGCACCTCCTTGGTAATGCTGGGTCAAACCAAGCCAAGAAGCCAGAGAGGTTTTGCTGCTATACAAGGTCTACAGGACTGAGTTTTAAACCCCCATTCTTCCCCAAAGAGCATCAGCTGCTGTCTCTGGACAGTAGTGCTATTCATTTGCAAGCTGGAAAAGCCTTTACATCCCAAAGATCTGTGTCATCTCCCTGCAGCACCAACTGCTGCAGAAACCTCTGTGGGATCACAGCAAGCCTTACATTCTTCTGCAGTAATACCCAATACAAATCCACTCATCTCCCTGGGGTGCAGACAATTTATGTTTTGGATGCACCACCTCTAGGTGGGATGGCATACAGTAAAGCTGTAAGTTGTCCCCAAAGATTTTCACCTGTTCAATTTCAGTCATGCCAGAGAAGAATTCAGAACATGCTGAAATACAGAAAAGGGTATAACAGGCCAGAAATAATTACAGTCAAATAATATTAGAAGGATGTCCTCCTTCCATTTCTTAAGCCAGCTGACAATTCACTTACAGGGATAACAGTGACAAACAAGATTCCCCATCAGGTAGGAAGAGTTCCCTGGGCTGCTGCTCCTTCAGAGAGGCACACAGTGCAAACCCTCATGCATTGCAGGGAGGTGGATGGGGTCAGTGAAAATGTGCTGGGAAAGCATAAGGTGTGATTTGGGAAATGCTGTACCTTTCCCTACCCCCTATCATCTTGTGGGTACTCAGCTCCTGAGCTTATAAAACTACATTTGAGCTGCTACACACTGGGTACAGCCCTTTCCTGCAGCAAATCATGTTTCCTGTCCTGCAAGGTACAGTCAGTCCAACAAGACTGAGGACATTTGCCAAGCCTGCTATCAGGAAACATAGGTTGGACCTGGCAGAAGGTTTCAACAGTTATGGAAATTCACGGGAGGTTGTGCTGTGGGGATTACAGACCCTGCTTCAGAGTACAGTCTTGCCACACACATATGCAGGGAAACAAGCCACCCCTCTTCTCTCAAAGCATGATAGTTCAGTTAGATGCTACAGAAAACATTATTTTGTTTTCAGCAACTTTCTTATCCATTTTTTAAAAGAACAGCATCTGGTCCCCCTGCCAGCACCACTGAAGCCTATCTCATTTCCTTCCACTGTTGCAGCTATGTTGTACAAACACGATGTAAAGCACCCTTGCCCTGGGACACCTGGACACATTTGGCTGGCTGGGAAAACTTTATCTACATTTCAGAAAGACAGCTCCTTTCCCCGCTGCAGCTTTTGCTCCCATCATGCCTAGTCCATGCACCCCTTCTGAATCAACTTGCTTGCAAGCAGGAGCACAGAGAAAGCTCAGTGCCAAGAAAAGGATAAAAGCACACCAGAAACAGGGAAATGCCTCAGTCCTTTCTATTCAGAGGCAGATCTGCCTTGAATGGGAGACCCCAGGACTGATGTGCCCCCAAAGGAGACTGAATCACAGGCAAGCCAGCCCCCTTCAATTCACATTAAGACTTCCAGCACCGTACGTATTCTTTCCTCCACCCTCCACCACAAGCTCCTCCTTTCTAACACAAATTTCCCACAGCATACAGACACATGCACTCCCAGGCAGTGAGCAGCAGTGCTGGGATGTGTTGAAACCCAAGTCCAGTGAGGTTCAACCCTTGCAAATGACTCTTTTTCATCAGCAAACTATAATTGGCAGCTCTTATCCACTACAAGAGTTTTGTGAAACACCCCTAAAGAGTATGCCAGGCTAGTTATTCACACTAAGACCCAAAATTAGAACCAATATCCTAAAAGAAAAGTGGCCCTCACTGGGCACTCCCAAGCAAAATGATCAGCCCTGCTGAAGCTGCAAAACGAATTCTGTTGTTTTCTCAGATCCACATGCACATCCAGAAAGAACAGAAGCAGAAACATAATTTTAAATCAACTAGTGCAGCTATAAAGTTATAAAACTTACATGGGACTCCAGACTTTGAAAGTGCTGGGTATTTACCTGCTGTGTACAATCCAAACAAGTGCTATCAACATTTTTAGATTCAAAAGATATTATTAAATTAGACTTTTTCTTGCACTTTAAGAGAGCACAGGCTCAGAATATAATTTGTTCTGTGCATGCACCTCCTTTATCTCAGCTCAGGGGGCTTTTGCAACAACCAGGAGCTATATGTTAAGAGGAGGGAATCTGGCCCACTACAAAATAATTCAGACTTGCTATGTTAGCTTTGATTTACACCCTAAACCATCCCAGTCTCCCAATCCGCCTCTTTTCACTCCTGTGAGAAACACAGCACAAAACGTGCTAAAAACTTACACAGGTTAATACCATTCCTGCTACAAACTTACACAAGTTAACACTATTGTTTCTCTTGCTCCCAAAGTTCGTCAGACGAACTCTTTTGAAATAGGTTCGCTAATTATTGAGAAAGGCTTTTAAGAAACTCAAAATCCTCTCACGGAAGACACTTTTCATCTTTGGCTTATTTTTAAAAGATTAAAATTACTTCCCACATAACTATCCCAGATCTGCTCACATCCCCTTTCCCCGAGCTGCTCCTGAGCACTGGGATAAGAGCCCCCACGCACGAGCAGCACACGGAGGGATCGGCGCTTCTCCCTACCTGAGAAGTCTGCAGAAGTCTTGGCAAAGTTGCTGAAAGCTGTCAAGCACATGAGTCCTAGGAGGAAGGTGGGGGTGGGCAGCACATCTGGGCAGCACATCCTTAGGTGTCCTCACGGCTCGTTTTCTTCCCGAGGAAAGGAAAGCGGTTCCTGTCCCTGCCCAGCACTCCTCATTGCCCGGAGAGCAGCGTTAGTCCCATTGCTGGGAAGGCTCGCAGCCAGCGGCGGGGAAGGAAAAGCACTCGGCACACACGCACACACACACACATCCCTGGGAGTGAATGAATCCCGGCTGACGAATGAGACAGACCTACCTGAGCCTTGGCGGAGTTCCCAGGGTCCTAAAAGGCACCTCTTCACCTCTTTGCCCAAATTTGCTGCAGACTGTTGTGCAGCTGCCCAGCTGTGACACTGCGAGCTGCTGGGGGGCAGCTGGGGAAAGGGGTGCCCGAGGGGCTGGGTTGGAGGAGCCCAGCTATTGTTGGATTAGATATGCAGGGCTCTTGTCTCTCTGGCACAGACAGACAGGAGGATGAGCAGAGTTTTCAAAGCAGGGAGCCCAAAGCAAAGCACCTGGGTTCACATGGATTTCTGCTCTGACGGGTATTTGTAGATGCTGCTGAAATCAGTGTGAGCAGCAGTGTCCTGCCAGACTGGTGACAGGAAAATTCTGTGTCCCCTCTTGAGAGTGATCCTACAGTGAAGGAGACTTTGCACAGGCCCAGGGATCAAACCCTCCTGGATCTCATTGCAGGACTGGGACTGGTGTCAGCCACATATCCAAAACTCTCCTTTCTTTTGACAGCAGAAAGCCATGCCAGGCTCCCCTAACCCACTGGACTCCTTTATCCTCCATCAAACTCAATAGAGGGTTTTTCAGCAGACCCAGACCTGTGGTTTTCATAGAATTGTTTTCATAGAATGGTTTGGATTGGAAGGGAGTTTATAGATCATCTAACTCCAGCCTCCCCACCACAGGCAGGGACACCTTCCACTAGACCAGGTTGCTCCAAGCCCCATCCAACCTGGTCTGGAGACCCAGGAGTCCTGGCTCCTTCCTTAGCAATTACTTTAACTTCCTAGCATGGCTCTAGATGCTCATTGAGCACTGCTCCCCCTGCAGAGTTAAAGGAAGGCTCCAGCTCATCTGGAAGCACATCCAGTATTTGATCCTGCCTGATTTTTATCCAAATCCAGGCAGCATCAAGCCAGTCATGTTAATTTGAAAGAGCTGAGAACTGGGGACACAGATAGATGGGTACAGGAAGGAGGTCCTGGGCTTTGGTCAACAGCCTTAGCTGCAGCTCAGCCCTATGTTTGCATGTAAATAATGGCCATATCCCACATATCCAGGCTAGGGCAGGAGCTGAGTGTTGGTGTAGAGAGAGGAGAATGTATTTCACAGGCAAAGCCAGCACCAGCCATTTAGCAGCCTGTGTATCCATACATTCAAACTAAGGAGCTGCACTGTGTGGGGCTGCCAAGCGTGGCAGCCATGGGGGCAGACTCACACACAGCTGCTGAACAAAGCTGCAGCACCTATCCAGCAAAAATAACCTCAGTGGAAACACCCAAGGAAAAACACAAATGGTTTTGACTCCTCTGTCCTGTTCATCCACAAGAAGTTAAGTGGAGCTCTCCAAAAACATTGATTTTAGAGCTAAAAACAAGTGTAAGAAATTTCAGCACAAAGGGCTCCGGGGTTTTTTCAGAGTTGACTGAACTTGTAAAGTGTTTCTTATTCTGAAATTTCTAACAATGTTTCAGCTGTTGTCAGATGAATATCAGACTGGCTGCCTGATTACATGTGAAAGACATTTTCAAGAGTGCTGCCATGAATACCAGAGTAATTTTTTTCCACCAGAAGTCTGTCCTAGGATGGTCTGTGGTCTGTGTACTAGAAGCAGACCCCAAGGGGAGCTGTAAGTCCCGTGGCCCTGGTTGCCTTCTGCCCATACAGCCACTTGCTCAAGTTCCAAGCAGCCACACAGAGGATGAGAGCAGAGTGGTAAATCTGGAGTTCGAGCTCAAATCCTGTCCATGACCACAGGAGCAAGAGGCTATTCTGGTCTGATCTGCACCTAAGCACAGACCACAACACCTTCCCACAACACCTTTTCACACCCTGAGGGTCTCCCGTGAAGCTGCAGATGAGTCTCCCCAAGGACAGAGGTGGCTGTGGGCTGCCCTAACAGCACAGACACAGTCTGAGATCCAACGGGCTCTGTAAAATCCAGCCCCAAGTCCCTTCTCTCTGCAGACAATTCTGCCCCCTTACTTTAAGCAGAAGACTGCTTAAGCAAGATAAAAAACCAGGAGCTTCTACAGGCTGCCTTGCTCTTTATTTCACCTGGTACTTTAATCCCACCTGCCAAACCCCTCTGATGCATGCTTTTCCAGGGTTGACCTAAGTTTTAAAGAGAAAATACCAGGAGATTTGACTCCTGGCATCTATGTATAATTCTTGTCTCACCTAGTTCTGCTACCCTTGCCAAGAGGAAGATTCACCACTGCTGTTTTACAGGCATGAGATAACCATACCCATTACCAGATTATCAGTCCAAGCTCCTTATGAGCAAGACAAAGAAACAATAGGACCCCTGGAAATTTAGCAGCCTCTGGAAAAGGGAAGCACTATTTGCTGAAAAGAGCCCACCCTGTTAGCAGGTGTTGATTTTACTGATTAAAGGGTAATTAGGTTTGGCTGACTCAGTATATGGGGGAAGAAAAAAAAACTTCTGGTGACAAAGGGCTTAAGGCTAAACACGGGCAGTGTGCTTGAGCAGCCCTTAAGGTTAATGTGAATAAAGCCAAACCAAAGGAGAAGGTGTTGTCCTCTGAGGGCTTTTTTTTAAAGTAAGTCTGTGCAGATGCCTTCCAAAAGGAAAGAAGAAAGCAACTCTTGCCAAAAAGAACAAGAAAAAAAAAGAAAAGAAACATTGGCCTTTGAGAAACAGCCAATTCAGTTAAAGTCCATCTCCATAATGCCCTTATTCCCTGGGGCATGTGGGAACATCAGCTGTGTTTGCAAGGCAAAGAGGCCACCTGTCCCAGCACAGCACAGATAAAGGACGTCTGTCATGGGCAGTCTCATGGGGTAAACATGAATCAAGGCAACACCAAAATGGAACTTTACTTTTAGGAGTAACAGCCCTTGAAATCCATCCATGCCTTCAAATAGGTCTCTGGGGATAGGTAATAACGCATATAATGATAAACATTCTCTTGCATCCCTTGCTCCCAAAGTCACCCAGAAGTGGGAATAGGCCAGTACTGATGCAGTCCAGCATTACATCTTAGCTTGGAGGAATGATATTTGCTCTCCCTCCCTCCACAGATTAACTGTGGAGAAGTCTCACTAAGATGCTTAACAACTGTACCCCAGTCCTCCTTTTAGACTATGTTACTTAAGTGCATTTTTCTCTCCTCCCATGCTCCTCTCTTGTAGATCCTCTCCTTCTCCTGCTGCACATAAAACTGTAATATCTGAAACATGCATGTAAATTCCCAAAGTACAGTTAAGTACAGCTGCAACTGGGCAAACTGAGGCAGGGAGAAAGCAAGTAATTTGTCATTCAGTTTTGTGACCCCAACATTATCCAGTTCATAAATAGTAATCAGGAATGCACCCAATAAGGATGATTCCCAGTTTAATGCTGTTTGTGCTGATCTTGCTTCCTTTCAGGGCTGATTTTTGGTAATGCTTTCTCATTTTTTACTGATCTGGCACCATTAACCTCTTCCTTGGTGATTAAACCATCAACAGCTAAAGGCTGGTCAGTAGAAGGGCTGGACCAGGAATAGATCTTAGCTAGAGAACCAGTTGTAGGATTGAAGTCCTGTTTGTTTACACAGTCACATGCAGATTTATTAGCACAAATTTTCTAAAACTACTCTTTCTTTCTAACCCTAGTAACATTACTCACTTCTTACTGGTTTTTTCCATAAAGCCTCAAAGCACTCTCCAAAAGGCCTTGTTGCATTCTGCCATTTCACACATGGACAAAGAACAGTCATATGTTTAAGGTCAATACTTTTTCAATGTCAGCCAGGGGAAATTGACAGAGATAAGAAAATATTAAATACTTTTTAAGTCCAGCCAGAGCTCTTTCTACTGGGCCACATTCCTTCTAAATGAATGTAAATTAATAACAAAATATATGTGCATTTATATCTACAGAAACAAATGTAAACTGGGTGGTCAGAGCTTCAATATAAAATAGCAAAGTTTCCCAGCAGAGTACAGCTCTTTGTTTCCTTTTTTCCTTAATCTTTCCCCTAAGAGTGTACTATGGAAACAGATGGGGTTACTCATGGAAGTAAGCACTGTTTGCTTTCATCAATTTGAAGGCAGAGAACTTCACATAACACAGTTTTGCAATACAACACCAAGTATCTCACAAGTAAAATCCATATTCAATGCTAAACAACAGCTGTGCAGAATATTCAAACTCAAAAGCCTTTGAAGTTTTCACATTTTGTGTCACTCAATCACTTCAGTTTACAAAACGAACATAAAACCTGGAGGACTTTGCTCCATACTGGGAAAGGTTTCAAGTGGGGGTAGTGCTTCAACCAAATTCTGTGTAGTGTAAAAGCCTCAAGTGATGCACTTATCCCACTGAAACATTGGGAAACTGAACAAAGTGGTGCAAAATCCTCCAATGCATGAAAATGTCAAAAGTAAAATATTTGACTACAAAGTGATCCACAACAAAGCTAAAAATTTTCTCTTCATGCCTCACCAAGTAACTGGTGTTGAAACCTCTCTCAGTTGGCATTCTCTTCATTCTAATGATTCCATGTCCTGTGTCAGAGGGTACTGTGTAATCTGGTGATTTTTCTGGGATTGGAGTATCCATTTGGGTTTAGCTGGTACCTTCCCTGTATTAGAACTACAGGAATTTGGAGTCACCTTGATCTTTGTACTACACTGCAAGTCACATAAAGGTTTAAAGAGACAGGTTTCACTGAGACCTTCAGGACCTTCACTGTCTTCTGATACCTGTAGAGTGAAACTGTTCTCCACTTGACCTGACTCATAAGTCCTCTTCTAACAGGTTTTCTGGGCAGATTTCTCCATTAATTGGATGATGGTG